ACCGGCTGCCCTCACCTGTCCAGGGGAGCGTCGGGACGGTGTCAATGCCTCGGTCAGCTCAGAYGTGCAGTCGGTGTTCAAGGGGAAGACGTACAACCAGCTGCAAGCTCTGTACCAGGGCATCGAGAGCAAGATCCGGGCAGGAGGGCCCAACCTGGACATTGGGTACTGGGAGAGCCTCCTGCAGCAGCTGAAGGCTTACATGGCTCGGGCCAGGTGAGAGCAGAGAGTGGGGACAGCACAGAGCCTGCCTTGGGCAGAGCTGGGGAGGCACAAATCCAGTTGGTGGTGGGAATGGGGGCGGGTGTTCTACCTTTTCCGTGATGGCTGGTTCCCAAGAGGGGAGCAGGGCTAGATACACTGTCCCTTTTCCAGTGGTGATGTTTACAGTGAAGTCTCCAAGAGGGAACCAAACGGGGGCTTATTCAGCCCAAACCCATCTAAGCCCAACAGGTTTCTGCCCACTGTTGTGTGYGTCATAGCTTTGGGCAGTGGGAGTGAGGTGGTTCTGCTGGGTGGGACCTTAACTGCTCCTTTCCTCTCTCAGGCTGCGGGAGCGGCACCAGGACGTGCTGCGTCAGAAGCTGTACAAGCTGAAGCAGGAGCAGGGTGTGGAGAGTGAACCGCTCTTCCCCATCATCAAGCAGGAGCCAGCCTCCCCCAGTGACAGGTRAGCAGCCACCTGGGCCTCTCCCTGGGGTGCCCCAGGCAGAAAGGCAGCTTGCACTCCCACTCTTCCCCAGGCAGAGCTCAGGTGAGCCGGGAATGAGGGTATCATCCCCATCCCAGTCCTCTGTTCTCCCTTCCATGCAGGCTGGATCCCGAGGAGAGCCTTGAGGCACAGCCAGGGCCATCCTCAGAGCCAGAGGCAGAGCAGGATGCGGAGGTGAAAGCAGAGGCAGAGGGCGAGGCRGTGCTGATGGAGGAGGATCTGATCCAGCAGAGCCTGGATGATTATGATGCTGGCAAGTACAGCCCCCGGCTGCTGGGCCCCAACGAGCTGCCCTTCGATGCCCACGTGCTGGAGGCTGAGGAGGACACGCACCGACTGCTGCTCCTGCGCCAGCAGCTCCAGGTGACAGGTGAGCCCCAGGGCAGGCCTCACAGCCTGCCTGGCATGGAGGGCATGTTGTGATTTGGGGTGCAGGGGTGGAGGGGACACTGTCCTCAGGAAAGGGTAAGAGCTGGATCTGGAGCAGGCATACAGAGCTGAGCTGGCACAGGGATGCCCCGGACACAGGGAGCAAAGGGCACTGTGGCCTGGGCAGGAGCAGAGAGATGGCGCTCAGGCTGCTGGTGTTCCCTGGGGGACCTGTCTCAGGTGTTTGGGTRCAGACAGGCAGGAGAAGTGTTTTTGTTGAGTTTTCCAGCACAACTCAGCCTGGTGCCCACTTGGGGCTCACATCTTGTGCATTCTCGTGTCCAGTTCTGCATCTTTCTGCCCAGCAGCTCCATCTCTCTGTGTACCTAGAGCAGTGTCCCATGGCCCAGGCCTGGCTGGCACTGCAGGACCCGATGTCACCTCTCCTTCCCTATAGGTGATGCCTCCGAGAGCACTGACGACATCTTCTTCCGCAAGGCCAAGGAGGGCATGGGCGCGGACGAGGCGCAGTTCAGCGTGGAGATGCCTCTCACAGGAAAGGCCTATCTGTGGGCTGACAAGTACCGGCCMCGCAAGCCCCGCTTTTTCAACCGTGTACACACGGGCTTCGAGTGGAACAAGTACAACCAGACCCACTACGACTTTGACAACCCCCCTCCCAAGATTGTGCAGGGCTACAAGTTCAACATCTTCTACCCCGACCTCATTGACAAGCGCTCCACGCCCGAGTACTTCCTGGAGGCCTGCCAGGACAACAAGGACTTTGCCATCCTGCGCTTCCACGCTGGGCCGCCCTACGAGGACATCGCCTTCAAGATTGTCAACAGGGAGTGGGAGTATTCCCACCGCCACGGCTTCCGCTGCCAGTTTGCCAACGGCATCTTCCAGCTCTGGTTCCACTTCAAGCGTTACCGTTACCGCCGCTGAGGGTTGCTCAGCATCCTCCCAACACCTGCTGGGGTGGGCAGGAGGGTCTCATYCCACAGCACAGACATTGTTCTATGGATGTCCCCAAGGCCTGGCTCAGCCCTGGCCGTGTTCCTGAGGCTTATCCCTGTCCTTATTTTTATCATGAAGGACCCTGAGACTTTGGTACAAATAAAATAAGGGTTGTTTTAGCCATGAGAKCCTGAGCATGGACACCCCCACTGCTCCTGCACGACGTCACCAGCCAGTACCACACGGGGCCAGCACTGGGAGCTCCCCCGGAGGCTGAGTTGGGGTGGGTGGGTGTCCTCACCTCTGTGTTGCTGAGATCTGTTGCCCCATCCCCACAGAGTCAGCCCTGTGTGTTCCCTTGCCCACTCCAGCCCCCTCCCAATCCCACACMTCCCCTTACCAGTGCCAGAGCAGTCCAGCTGATGCTCCCCAGCTGGAGTCAGAGGACACTTGGCTTCACCAGTGCAGCGCTGCCTGTGTCCTGCTTTGTAAAGGGGCCCCTCACCCTCGCCCCGGCCCTGTTCCTGGCACATCCTCCCCTAGGATGTGGCTTCCCCAGCCTGGGAGCACTGCCCCATCCCTCAGGCCAGGCTGTGGCATGGGAGGCTGCAGTGGCTGCCAGGCGCCTGCTCTGGCKGAGTGGAGGAGAGGGATGCTGGCTGGAACATCTCCTTACAGGGGAAATTCCGGATTCCAGAGCCTGCAGTCCCTCCCACACCATGCCTGCGAGGCTCTCCTGCCTTGGGCAAGAAGCGGCTGCACTGCCCAATTCCCAAGGGCCTCTAGTGCTGCTGAGATGGGTTTTGGGCACCTTGGGGGCCCTGCATATGGGTGCTCATGGTTGAGCTGGGACTCACTGGTGTTCATCCCACCAAGGTGCTCGTGGGACACAGCCAAACTCCTCTGCAATCACCCCACATSRCCTCATCCRCACAAGTCCCCACACCCCAGGGTGYCCCMGCYGRGGCAGRCAGGACAGGGTGCTGCTGAGTAGTGCCCAGGGGTGCAGGAAGCCTCTGTCCTGGCTTCACCCAGAGGCCATTTCCTACCTGCATCCACCCTCTCCCCAGTACAGGCCCATGGCACCGGGACTTACAGACCTGCCTAGATCCCCGAGCACGAGGGCAGAACCAGCACTGCTGGTGGGATCCAGCCCCACAGCTCCCATGGGAGCTCGTGCTCAAGAGGCTCCCATGCCTGCCCTRGCCACCCACGTGTGTGGGGCTTGGCCTGCCTGCAGAGAGGGGTGAGGGACCCCAACTGCCTTGGTCCTGCATATGGGTGCCTCCTCCCCATCCTGCCAGATGTCCTCAGTGCTGGCAGCTGCACCGGACACATTCCCTGGCCCCTCCTTCCTGTGAGTTATTTGCAGTCACTGCCTGTGCAGGGGGGTTTTGGGGCTCAGCACAGGAAGTGGATGAAGGCCTGGCCAGGGAGGAGGAAACGGGAGAAAACCCAAACTCCAAAGCTGGCAGTTGGTGCCCTCCCTGCTCAGCTGCCTGGCAGAGTCTCCCTGCCCACAGCCCATCCCTTTCCTTCCTGGGCACACACACAGAGGTTGAGGAACTCCCCCAAAAACGTCCCCCTGTATCTCCAGCCTGAACAGGGTCCATTTCTCTCCCAGGTGTTTCGYTTCCCTATATGTCTGACTGCAGGCCCTGGATGAGGTCGCTGAGCAGACACAGAGCCTGGGCCCCGAGAGCTGCTGCAGCCGCTGGGCACAACCAGGGCCGGGTCAGGGACCGGGTCCGGCTGAAGCCCCTGATGGGTTTTACCTGCCCTGGCTGCTCTCAGAGCTCCTGCCCGCATTTCCCCTGCCTTTTGGGRGAAGCTGCCGTGGCGCAGCCCTGGGCTGGGCAGGGGCACACAGCGGTTCGTGCCGGGCGGGGCAGTCGGTGGAGCTGCCCCGTGCCCCATCCTCTGCTCCCGGGCACACCCCGGCCCCATCCGGGACAGCAGCGGCTGCCGAGCCCCGCGGGTGTCGCTGGCGGCGGGACCACTCCTGCCCCCGGTACGCAGGGCCAGCCGTGATCCAGCTCTGGGGCTAGCCCTTCCTCCGCCCTGGCTTTCGCTGTGACAACCTTTGCTCCAAAACAAGGGATAGCGGGATGATGTGCTCTGCAACCCCGCACTGCCGAGCCAGTGCCAGGAAAACCTGCCTGAGCATCCACCTGAGCGCCGAGCCGCTGTGCCCCTGGCTGGTCTTGACGGGATGCTGGGTGCTCGGGGTGTCCCCGCGTCCCCCGTGGGCTCAGGCGCTCACAGCGCTTCGGAGCTGATGGAGACGTTGGGGACAGAGCCGCGCTYTGCCCGCCTCGGCCGAGCACGTGGAGCAGCAGCAGAGGCTGTCGCGTCCCCAGATCATGAGAAGGAGCACTGCCCGAGGACGTGCCACCCCTGCTGGTCTAGGGTTTGATCAGCGCAGCGACATCCCGACCTCGGAGCTGTCGGGCTGAGAAAACCCCCGGGAGGCGAATCCCCCCCGGACAGGGACGATCGGAGCTGCGGGAGCACCCAGGGACCCCGGCCCTCGGCCCCCCTCGTCCCCGGAACCGCAGCTCTCTCTCCCTTCTCGGGTCCCGGGGTCGCTGCGGGGCTCTGCGGGGCCGTCCCCTCTGGGGCTGTYCCGAGCGGGTCCCGCTGGAGGAGCGGCACGGCCGTTCCCCCCCGCCTCAACCCCGCCCGGACAGGGACTCKCTCGGTAAACAAGTGAGTAACGGGGCGGGAGTCCAGCCCCGACACGGACCCAGCCGTGGGTGCCGCCGGGGGGGCTTTGGGCGCCGGCACCGGGGTAAGTTGTGGGGCCTTCGGGGGCGCTGCCCGGGCCGAGGGCGATGGGGCCATTGGGGGACCCCCGCCTGGAGCCCCGTCCCGAGCGGGGAGGGGACGGAGAGGGACGGGAGCGGTTCCAGGGGGCGCGGCGAACCCGGCCCTTCCCCCGCCCCGCCGCGGGGCTGAGCCGAGCCGGGCTGAGCTGAGCCGAGCCGGGCTGAGCTGAGCCGGGTGGGTCCCGCCGGCAGCGAGGTAGGGCTCGGGTCTGCACGGGATGGGAGGTGTTGGACAGGGGCGAGGAATACGCGGCCGAAGGGGCTGAGAAGGACAAAGAACCCAGAAGGCTGGGACRGACGGACAGAGACCGGGATGGACGGACAGAGACTGGGATGGGCGGACAGAGCGCAGGAGGGACGAACGGAGGGGCTGTGCGGAATTCGTGGGGCTTTGTAGGGCGCTCGGGGCTCTCGGGGTGCTCGGGGCCGGCTCAGCCGCCCCGTTCGCACACAGCCCCGAGCATCGGGGCAGCGGAAGCGGAGACCCCATGGTGGGGGCCGGACGCGTGGTGTCCCCACTCCCCCCACTGTCTGTCTGGTCCCCGGCACCGAGGGTCCGCGATGGTGTTGGGCTTTCCGTTGGCACCAGGATTTGCTTTCGGCGCTCCCCCGCTCGGACGGGTTCCCCCCCGGCCGCCCCCGCCCGGCCCCRTGTGCCTCTGGCTCCTCCGGGAAGAGCCGGGAAAGGACCAGGAAAGGCTCAGGAAAGGGCCGGGAAAGGAAGGGTCTATTTCGGGCGGCCGGAGTGGGCGGCCCAGCAGCCTTGAAGCCCTCGAGATGCCGCGGTGCTGCGGGCGGGGGCAGCCGCGGGACGGGCGGGCTCTGGTGCCGGCCCTCGCAGGGCGGCCGAGCCCCGGCTCCTGCAGCYAAGGGCACCTGGGGTGATCCCCCCAGCACCCCGGGACCCTGGAGATTGGGATGGGCATGGCACCAGTTGTGTCCCAGTCAACCCAGAGGCTAGGGACCTCTGCCCCAGGCCACAGCAAGGACAGTCACCATCCTGTGTTTCACTGTCCTGGGTGTCCTAGGGATGTCCCTGCTCCAGGCCAAGCCAACTCCTTCAGCAGCAGATCCCTGTGAAGGTTGTGGGTCCAGGGAGGGATACATGCCCTGCCAAGTCCTCATCCCCATGGGCCTTTCCTGTCCTAGCTGATGACCTCGAGCTGATCTGATGGCCCAGAGCCCCAGCCTGGAGGGGTTGGCCCAGAGCCCCAGCCTTGAGGTGGCAGTGGGACCACATCCATCCCTGACAGGGGACACAGTGACCCATGGGACCACCCACACCAGGGGCATCAGGCTGCAGAGACAGAARGGATCATGCAGGGAATGTCATTGTCCTGAAGGGGTCCAGTGAGCAGAGAGGGATAAATGCAAACACCCTGCAKCATCTTCTGTACAGCTGCTCTGGGGCCAAGCACCATGAGGGTGCACATGGGGTGTGAGGGGAGTCACTGCTGCCTGACTTGAGGGTCCCTTTGCAGGTGTGTGGTGCCCCTCTACCCAGCAAATCTCCCCTTCCAGCCCCACAGCCTGGCCTGATCCTGCAAGCCCTGTACAGGCCCCATGCCGAGTCCTGGGGAAGCAATGGGCTGGGGCAGAGGCTGATAAGGAGCAGCCTCCCACACTCCCCATCTGCCTTTCCCCAGCTCCCCTCGGATGTGGCCAGGGCAGGAAGCAGTGCCTGGCAGAGCAGGGCAGCCTCRGTGCATCGGCCACTGGATCAAACTTACGGGCTCAGGCACTGCCAGGAACCCCATTAGTGCCTGCACCAGCCCCCCACGCCCTGCTGCCAGGGCCTCATCGCCTCCAGCAAAACAAATCAGAGCCAGCTCCTCTCCTCCAGGATCTTACCCCAGCACCCCTTGCCAAACCCTCGCTCCTGCGAGCTCTCCCTGGGAGCATTTTGCCGGATCCAGAAACCAAATCCCGAGCACAGGGCGGGGCAGTTGGTGGGGCAGTCCTTGGGCTCAGGATGTCTCTTCTGCAGGACCTGCTGTCCCCACACGCATCCTCCTGTGATGGCTGACCACAATGCAGGGGAGACTGAGGGGCTCCCCCACCCCACGTGAGCCCCTTCCCAGAGGCACCACTGGTGTGCTCTGGCACATCAGGATTCCCTTGCTCCCAGCCCTGAGTGACCCCTTGTAAATATTTGATTGTTTCTAAGTGCTGTGCCTGGCTGAGGCAGCTCTGCACAGGGGGAGCCCAACCGGGGTCCCTTGAGCCCCCGGGGTCCCTGTACAGTGGCTGAGGGCCCAGGTTGTGGCTGTGTCCTGTGGGGAAGGAGGTGAAGGGGGCACAGGGAGGGGATGGAGGTGATGGTGGGATTTGGAGTTGCTGGTGTTTGTGCCTCCTTGTCTGGCCATGGCCCCACTGCAGGGAGGCCACACAGTCCCCCACCCACTTCTCCCTGGATGCTGTGGGGAGGGGTCAGCTCCTGCCACAGCCAGCCAGAGGGTGGCCAAGACATGGCTGAGAGTCCCCAGTAAACAGGGAGAGCAGGGTGGCTTTGCCCCATGGGTTTCTGAACCTCAGGGACGGGGGACATGTTCGGGGCATCACCCTGACAGTGTGGGCAGGCACATGGCAAGGGACAGTTTGGAGTGGACTGGCACACCAGGCAGCCACATGGCATCAGTGTAGACAGGGGGTGACTTTGTCACCTCCCAAAGGTCGTGGGAAAGTCTGGTGACTCCTCAGGGACCTGGAATGTCATGCCGCRGCCTCACCAAGTGTCTGCAGGGCCGACGCCTCCGGGGCCACCGCGGTCTCTCGGGGACCAGTGAGAACAAACAGCAGCCATTTTTTACTCTTSGCTCATGGAAAAAGCATGGCCCACCCTCGCAGTGATTCAGCACTGTTCTCTGCCAGCCCCCCGCACCAGGACGGGACCGAGATGGGGACAAGCCACCGCCACCATCCCCGGTCCCTTCCCTGCTGCCCGGGGCTGCCAGACCCCAGCACGGCCGGTGACGGGCACCCCGAGCCCCACGCACCGGCCCCAGGGGATGTCGCAATGCCTGGCCCCGTCCCAGGTCCCAGCCGGGCTGTGGGATCGGTGCGGGGCTCGGCTCTGCAATGCACGGTGGCTCCCAGCCCTGGGAGTTGGTGCGTGAGGGGTGCCTGAGTGAGGGACACGGGGACACGGAGCTGGGCCACCGACAGACCAACAGCCAGGACCGGCAACGATCAGGGCTGGGGTGAGGTTTAACCGGGGGGCAGGGGACAGGTGGCAGTGCCACCCTGCACGGGGGAAGCAGCAGTTCCAGGACCCCCACAAGTGAGGGGCACTGCACTGGGGACTTTGCAGGGGGGGCAGATCAGGACACAGCTGGGCATCCCACTGGGCATTCTGCTGGGGCCACTGGGCYGGGGACCATGCCAGCCAGGAGGGTGGGCTGGGGCAGGCAGGGTGGTGAGAACATCYACAGCCTGGAGGAATGGGTCCCAGGAGGAGAGGAGGGGTCTGCCTTCTGTAGGGCTGTATGTCCCCAGCTTGCCCAGTCTCCACTGCTGCTGTGTTCCTGTCCTGTTCCGTGTCATCCCATTTACAGTCTGGGCTAATTAGCAATGGARGGCCATGTAGGACCAGGAGGTKCACTTGGTGAACCTKGTRTGTCCCTTCCAACTCAGGATATTCCATGATTCTGTGATTCCCAGATGCTTCCCAGCCAAAGCGAGGCAGAATGACACTGACCGGGCTGCCCCTGGCCACAGCAACCCCTGTCACAGCCTTTTCCTGGTGACAAACCCTCAGCTCCCACTGCAGGGGGGGCTGGGAAGGAAGGGCGGGTCTTTGGTTTAGCAGTAGTACCAGGGCTGCAGCACAGCCTCAAACCTGTGCCTCAGTTTCCCCAGCACACTGCAGGAGTTGAGCCAGGATAACGCCCAGAGATAGGTGGAGTGCAGGATCATGCCCTGGTGTAGCCACCCTGTGCCTGCATCCTCCCGAGCGTGTCCCCTGCTGTGATGGAGGGTGATGGCCCAGGGTCTCTGGCTCTGTCCCCCCGGAGGGGGCCAAGGAGGGAGCCAAGCTGTCAGTGCTGAGCTTCCCCCAGCACTGCTGGGCCAYGTTCAGTCTCGTGGCTGCAGCCCCACGTGGCTCCTGGCCAGGGACGGTTAATCCCGGCAGCTGCGGGGCTGCAGCCCTTGGCACCCTCTGCAGCTGTGCCTGGAGCTGCCACGAGCTGGGTCCCCCTTGTGTCCCCCTTCACAGCCCCGGCCGTCCCCACATCTGCAGGGTGATGAGTGGGCCAGGTCATGGGGACCAGTCCTAAACTCGCTCCATTCCCCCCGCAGGGCAAGGCGGGATCRTTGCCAGCGGCGTGGGGGGCTCTGGCCATGGCACAGGGCCAGGAAGGTGCCTGAGGCTGCTGGAAGGAACAGGAGGGGGCACGGGACATGGAGCCCCCCAACAGCAGCGTGGCCAGGAGGGCGGGCTCGTGCTTCGGGGTGTTCAATGCCAGCGACGGCCGTGCCAGCGCGCAGAGCAGCATCGCCTCGCCCTGGTTCTCCACCGCCTTCGGCCTCATCGGCCTCTGCTCCAACCTCTTTGCCCTCTGCGTCCTGGTCAGCTCCTCCCGCAAGCTCTCCAGCCAGGCTCGCTCCTCCTTCCTCATCTTCCTCTGTGGACTGGTGGTCACAGACTTCATGGGGCTGCTGGTGACAGCCTCGGTCATCATCCCCTACCACTTCATCAAGTTCTCCTGGGCCACAGTGGACCCTGGCTGCCACCTCTGCAACTTCCTCGGCTTCTCCATGGTCTTCTTCGGGCAGTGCCCACTGCTGCTGGGGGCCACCATGGCCGGGGAGCGCTTCCTGGGCATCAACCGCCCCTTCTCGCGCTCCACCAGCCTCTCCAAGCGCCGCGCCTGGGCCATCGTGGGGCTCGTGTGGGGCTTCTCCTGCTTGCTGGGGCTGCTGCCGGTGCTGGGGCTGGGCCGCTACACGCTGCAGTTCCCCGGCTCCTGGTGCTTCCTCACCCTCCTGCCCGACACCGGCGACGTCGTCTTCTGCCTGCTGTTCGCGCTGCTGGGCATCCTGTCGGTGCTGCTCTCCTTCGTCCTCAACACCGTCAGTGTGGTCACGCTCTGCCGCGTCTACCACGACCGCGAGTCGGTGCAGCGGCGCCGCGACAGCGAGGTGGAGATGATGGTGCAGCTCGTGGGCATCATGATCATCGCCAGCATCTGCTGGCTGCCCCTCCTGGTGAGGCCCCTGTCCTGGTGTGCCCCATTGCCACCCCTCTGGGTCCCCCTGTTCCTCCTTGTGTTCTCCCTACCTCCCTCCCTCCATGTCCCTCCTGTGGCTGGGTGTCCCCCACCCTTCACAGTGAGTTCCCAGCTTTCAGTGTGTCCCCTCCCTGTCCCTGCTGGTGAGGTCCCAGGTCTGGGGGTGTCCCCTTGGTCAGACCCCTCCTGCTGGGTCTCGGTGTCCCCCTGCCACCTCTCTGCACCCCAAGCTGGCCCTGGTGACAGGCACAGCAGCTGTTCCCCAGCGCCCCAAACCAGCCCAGGGCCCCTTCGAGGGGCTCAGTGCCTTGACCTTTATYRCATCCCCACCCCAGCACAGCTCACRGATCCTCCACTGAYGCTTTGCCCCCTTTACCCCCCCAGATTTTCATTGTCCAGACGGCCCTGCAGCACCTGCCGGGCCAGGCACAGGCACTGTCCACGGACACGCAGGAGATGCTGCTGATCTACATCCGCATGGTCACCTGGAACCAGATCCTGGACCCCTGGGTCTACATCCTGTTCCGCCGGGCTGTGCTGCAGCGCGTGTACCCCCGGCTGCCCCCCCGGCCCTCCATCGTCTCCCTCACCCCCTCCCTGCCCCGCAAGCTCACCGCCGCCTCTGTCCTGCAGTAGCAGCCCTGGGGAGGGGTGCTGGGTGGGGGGACACAGCCAAACCCCTGTCCCACCCCTGCAGAGGATCCCCGTCACCTGCACCCAGGAGTCTTCCCCGCGCTCCCGAACCCGATACTCAGGGGGGTGGCAGKWGGTGCGGGGCTGCTTCCCCCTCCCYGACCCCAATAAAGCACAGCTCGTGCAGCTCTCAGTGCCCACTGGGGGTGACCACCCGGGGTGGACAAGGGGGGGAACCCACCCTGTTGACAGCCAGAGCAACAGCCCTTCTCCTCCAGTCTCTGCTTTAATGAGCCACAGCCGCTGCCCACCACATYTGGGGGCTGTGCAAGGGGGATCCTCGGGAAGGTGGGGGGCTGGGTGCCCTCTGCCCCCCAACCCAAGGGACAGATCTGGGTGCTGCTCAGGAGGGTGTGGGGGGCAGGATGGAGATCCCCACCAGCCCCAGATGGGATGGGGATGAKGTGGGGGTGTGGGGTGGGACAGAAATGAGGGGCAGCCCCTCCCCCACAGCTACTCCTTATCCCCCTTGGGGTGGCAGACGGCTGCCCACACCTCRGCCACAAACTCCTGGGGGAAGGCGAACTCGCCCAGCACCGAGTCCAGCCCTTGGGCAAGCTGGGCCACACTGGGGCTGCCCTTGGCCACCTCCACCATCGTCGAGGCTGTCAGGGAGAAGGGGTCAGGTCAGGACCAGGCTGAGGGGCTGGGGCAGGAACAGGGGAAGAGGCAGGAGCAGGGGAAGAGGGAGGGGCCAGGGCAGGGTTGGGGTGGGGTTGAGGGTCAGGACAGGGCCAGGTCAGTTGACAGGGTCAGAACCAGGGGCAGGGCTGGGGTGGGTCTGGGTCGCGGTCCAGGCCCCCCGCTCACCCAGGTCGCTGTCCCTGATGCCCATGTAACTCTCCAGCAGATCATCCACCCGCTGGGCAGCTTCTTCCTCCGAGGGGCTGGGCTGGGGGTGAAGGCCTGGRGGTGAGTGCCGGACGGCACAGGGGGCACCAGGGGCATGGGGATGCTCATCCCCACCCTGGCACAGTGTGAGAAGCCACGAGCTCAGGGTGGGGAGCTCAGGGTGGGTCTTACCCCCTCCTCCAGCACGGCCGGGCCCTGCGTCCGCAGCCGCAGCGTTTCCTTCCCGCTGGCCACTCTGGCTTCACCCGGGGATTTGTTGCTCCGCGTCCGCTGCCCGATCATGTCTGTGCCCCAGAGTGGAGGGTCAGGGCATGGGCAGGACCTGGCACCCCCAGCCCCTTACTGCCCACTGCTCAGCCATCCCCCAGCTCCCAGGGCCACTGCAGGGTGAGCCGTGTGTGGGACAGGGCTGGTGAGGCAGGGACACCCGGGTGCTTGTGGTTATGGGGTGCTCATGGGTGCTCRGGACAACATGCACAGAGCAAGGGGGGTACCCACAGGGGGCACGAGCAGGGGTGTGGCCCCCTGAAGGGGTGCCCATGTGGGTGTCCCAGGGCTGTGGGGCACACACACACAGTGGGGGCACAGGGGGTACACACAGAAAGCGGCGAACCCTGGGAGGAACTCGGTCCCTGGGAGGGGCTGCAGGGGCACAAGGGGCTGGGGACAATCCCAGGGTCCCCAGGRCAGGAGCAGGGGGACCCTCCCAACTCACCAAAGGCCTTTTTGGGCTGGACCAGGCGGAGGGTAAAGGGCTGAGACCGTGGCAGCTCCCGCAGCATCCGGGCCACCTCGTAGTGCCGGCAGCCCACGATGGTGTGGTCGTTGATGGCCTCGATGCTGTCCCCCACAGACACCGTCTGCAGCCGGTTGATGATGCTCCCCTCCTTGATCCTCTGGGGACCACGGTGGGACAGGGACACAGCAACCGCATGGCACACGGGGACAGCCGGACACAGCCCCCATCCCACCCCACACACAGTGGCCTCAGTGGTCCCACACCCTTTAGTGGCCAGGTCAGGAGCAGAGCGGACCCAGGGAAGGATGGCTATGGGGAGTCAGGGAGGAGCCCGGTGCCACGAAGGGATGTGCAGGGGATGTCCCCTGCAGGGCCACGGTCCCTGGGACTGCCCCACCCCAGCATGGTTCCCAGGGGTTCACCTTGATGAAGGCGTAGCCRGCCCCGTTGTCTGTGATGGTGAGGCCAAGCGCATCCTCTGTCTTGGTCACCTCCACCTCCTTGGTCTCGCCCCGGACGTGGGCAAAGATGAAATCCTCCAGGCCAATCTGTCCCCCCAGCAGCTTCTGCATGTCCACTTTGTGTGTGTTGAGCGTGCAGAAGAGGATCTGCACCAGGGAACCCCATCAGTGGGGACTGGGGACACCCTAGCAGGGCAGGGGTGTCAGGACCAGCCAGGGGGGGGATTTGGTCAGATCTGGGCACTGCCAGAACAGAGGGGCCCAGGAATGTCCAGCCTGGCTGGGGAACCTGCACTGCCCCTGTGCACCTTCCCACAGCTCCAGGCAGCCAGAATCAGAGAGAGAACCAGCAGCCCCAACTCCCTGGGGAGGGGGCTGAGGCACAGAGCCCCCAAGCCCTCCCTAGAGGGCTGATATAGCCCTGAGGCCAAAACACTTTTTAAGAAAATTTTGGGGACTGCATTTGCAAGCAGCTAGGGACTCGTGGGAGTGCAAGGCACAGTCAGTACCACAGGGTGGTTGTTCCTGCCCAAGGCACAAAGTCCCCTTACCTCGGTGGGCGAGATGTCGAAGACCTCGGCRATTTTGGCGTAGAGCTCCTTGACGTTGGTGAAGCCCTCGATGCGCTCCGTGGGGCTGCCGTGGGCCAGCTGCGTGTGGAACACGAGCCTGGGGCGRGCGCGGGGGGCCCGGGGCGCAGCGGGGCCGGTGGTGGCGGCCGGCTCGGGGGTCCCGGGCTCCTGCCCCATGCCGTTCTCCATGGGGCCGCCCTCGGGGGGCTGCCGGCCGTGCCTGCCCGCCCGCTGCATCCCTGCGGCGCCGCTGAATTATGGATGGGGCTGGCTCCCTGCCGGCCGTAAGGTGATCGCCGCACCCGGGAACCTGAGCCGGCGGCGCAGGTCACCCGCGGGGATCGGGTGAGCTCTGCCACGTAGGAAGAGCCCCGGCGGCCAGGCGGGAGGTGGGAGAGCAGCCGGCTCAGAGCCAGCCCATCACACCCTCCCCGGCCGGGGCTGGGGGCTGCAGAGCTCTCAGCCAGTGCTGCACCCCAACAGCCCCAGGAGCGGCTCCAGAGCTCCCTCCAAGCACAAACACACAGCGACCACAGGAGTTTTCTCCCACGTTTATTTGCTCCCATCTCCATCCCAAGCCCAGCGGCACCAGGAGATGGCAAAGGGCAGACACGGCTACAGAGCGCAGGCCTGGCGAGGGAGGGAGGAGCGGGCACACCCCGGCCCACGGCAGAGCCAAGGCCAGGCCCACGTAGTGCTAAGTATGAAAATAAGACACTCTCTAATTACACAGTCTGAGATTAAAGACAGGCAGCCCCGGGGACAGCAACCCCAACCCCGGGTGCCAGCACAGTGGTCCCACGAGAGCAGAGAGGCTCAGGCAGAAGGGGCAGGAGGCAAAAGCCAGTGCAGCACACCCAGGGTGCCTGAAGGTGGGAAGGGCYGGGTACCAGCTCCCCTCTCCCAGGGGTGCACACCATGGGAGGGGTCAGTCCCAGCTCTCCCCTGCTCCCTGCCCCAGGAGGGGCTCAGTTCCAGCTCCCCTCCGGCCTGAAGGGTTTTATTGCCTTCAGGAGCTCGCTGCCTGGTCCCAGATACGGAGGGGAAGGAGGAGAGCCAGGCAGGGGGGCAAGGGCAGAAGGCACCCATTAAATAAAAGCAGAGGCAGGTGGGGGGAAGGAGCATCCCCCCACGCTCGTGCTGGGATGGGACTGAGGGGCTCCCAAGCTGGCCAAGGGACAGCACCAGGACCATGGGGGTCCCAGTCACCCCCCACTGCCCCCCATCCCTGGTTCACCCTGGATTCACTCCAGGCCCAAACCCACCAGCACCTCCCCTGCCCAGTCAGGCTTTGGGAGCCCCTGGCTGGCAAGGCAGGGCTGGGGGGCTCAGGGGAGAGCAGGGGGTGCTCACACCACTGCTGCCCCGGCTGGGCTCTCAGCCCTGTCACCGCTTGTCCCCCCAAAGCTCAAGGTCCCCCAGAGYTGGGTCGGGCGCTCTGGGCTGGGGCTGCAGGAAGGTGCGAGGGGCAGGGGGAGCAGCCAGACCACCTGCAGAGACTGTCCCTTGTGTGAGCTGCAAAGGACAGGCCGGGGTCTGGAAGGACTGGTCCTCTCACAAGTGTTCACTGAGGAGGAAGAAAAGCACAGCTGAGACACAAAATCCCACAATGGTTTGGGTTGGAAGTGACCTTAAAGCCCACCCAGCTCCTCCCCCTGCCATGGCAGGGACAGCTCCCACTGTCCCACCTCCCACTGTCCCAGGCTGCTCCCAGCCCCAATGTCCAGCCTGGCCTTGGGCACYGCCAGGGATCCAGGGRCAGCCACAGCTGCTCTGGGCACCCTGTGCCAGGGCCTCCCCACCCTCCCAGGGAACAATTCCTGCCCAATATCCCATCCATCCCTGCCCTCTGGCACTGGCAAGCCATTCCCTGTGTCCTGTCCCTCCAGCCCTTGGCCCCAGTCCCTCTCCAGCTCTCCTGGAGCCCCTTCAGGCCCCAAAAGGGGCTCTGAGCTCTCCCTGGATCCTTCTSCTGTCCAGGTGAGCACCCCCAGCTCTCCCAGCCTGGCCCCAGAGCAGAGGGGCTCCAGCCCTGCAGCATCYCCRTGGCCTCCTCTGCMCTGGYTCCAGCAGATCAGCATCTTTGGACATGGAGACACCTCCAGAAATYAGGGACTTGGCTTCCCTSTCCCACAGCTCCCCAGAGCAGCTCCAAGCCCATCTCTGTCCACACCTCCCTGCTCAGCTTCCATCACCACTGGCCCCAGGCTGACCCTGCAGTGCCATGGGCTCACCTGGCGATGCGGGACAGGATCTCCTTGACACGCAGCACCAGTGGCTCGTGCTGCAGGGGGTTGCTCTCGATGGCACTGTGCAGTTTGGCCATGTAGAAGTCCAGGGTGCTCAGCGTGGGGGTCTCCCCAGTGCCTGTGAGGTGACAGCCCAGTGAGCAGGGCCAGCAGGTCCCCACCCAACGCTGTCCATGCCCTGGGGGCCGCAGAAGGGACCCCAGCACCAGGTGCCATCTCCTGCAGCTCCAACAGATGGAACACAGGCACATACAGATTTGGGCCAGTCTGGGGTGCAGCTGTGAATGTGGCTCCAACAAAGGAGGGACCCCAGCCTGCCCTGCCCAGGACAGGGGAGCAATCTGGCTGTCACACCCCTGGGCTTCCCACACAGCCTTCCACATGCTGCAGGATTCACCCCAGAGGCACAAGAGCACCTACCACCACCCCAGTGCCCCACCTGCATGGGATGGGGGAACCCCTCAGTGCCCCTCTGTCCTACAGGGCTCCCAGCAGCCAGGGGGGCCCCACGGGTGCCCCCAACTCACCAGGGATGGGGAGGGAGGCGAAGCTGGCAGTGAGGGCCTGCCGCACAGACTGGAGCTGCTGCTGCAGGGCCAGGGTCTGCCGCTCCTCCTGCGCCAGCTCCTGCTCCAGCTTCTCCTTGGCACAGTTCATGCTCTCTGTGTGCTTCTGCAGGATGGCGTTCTGCTCCTCAAACTCCGTGTTCATCTTGCGCAGGCGCCGCAGCTCGGCCTCGCGGGCTGCAGGGACAGGGATGTGTCYGTGGGGACAGACCTCGACCCCCTCATCCCAAACCAAACCCCTGCCCTGCTCTGTGTCACCAACGCCCAGGCTCCAGCCAGGACCTRGTCCCCCTGTCTGGCCTCCCCAGGGACYTTCCGCAGCCCCTCACCTTTGTTTTGGTCCAAGAACTCCTCGGTGAAGATGGGCACATCGAAGGTGGAGAAGGTGTCACTGCACTCACCAGCCTGAGGGACAAGAGGGAGGGGCTGGGCAGGGCTGAGCCCACCAGAGGGGACCCCAGCACCTTGGGGCTGGGCTGATGAGGTCACCAGGACAGGGTGAGGGCTGGGACTGCTGGAACTGGGGGCTCACTCTGCCCACCCACACCTGTAGCCAGCCCAACAGTGCCATGTGCCTCAGTTTCCCCACATACAGGCAGACCTGACAGGGCCTCACCTTGTGCAGGTGCCCGTTGAGCAGGGTGTTCACAGCCACCGCGCCCGTGTCCTCTGCAGGGGAGAAAGGAGGTCACCCCAGGGCCCAGTCCTGCGTCCCCAATGGGTTCTCACAGCACCTGACTGGATCCTGGCAGCCACTGCTCCCACAGCCCACCTTTTTTGATCTTTTTCTCCTGGATCTTCTCTGTGCACATTTTGTAGGCCTCTGACTGCTGGTATTCCCGCAGCTCCTTCATGTATTGCTGCTTCTCCCGCTCTGCTTCATCCAGGTACCGCTGTGCACATCACAGAGAGGCCTCAGCCTGGCCCAACACAGGCWCCCACCCAGCTCCCACTCCCCAGCTCTGGGACCAGCTCCTTCTCTGGAGCAAGCCCAGGGGTTTGAGATGCAGGCTCTGGAGCTGCCCAGCCTGRGGGTCTCTCCTGTGGGCCAGTACCTGCTTCTCCGAGAGCTGCAGTTTGCTCCATTCYGCTCCCAGCATCTTGGTGATCTCTGGGAAGGGCAGGTCGGGATGCTGCGTGCGGATCTGCTCACGCCGCTCGTTCAGGAAGCGCACGTAGCCYGTCACGGGGGCTTTGGGGCCGTTGGGAAGGATCTTCTTCCTCTTCTTGCCCTTGGGCCAGCCCCTCTTCTTCACTGGCTGGCACGCGGGTGGAAGGACAGCTCATGAGGGATTAGAGCCATCACATCACCCCCAAACCCACCTGGACCACACAGCCCTCAAGGGAAAGTCTGGGCCCTTTCCTGGCCCATGGCCACTGCCACAGGCTCACCTGGGTTGGTGCAGGGCAAGCAGAGGGACAGGGACAGCCCCAGGCCAGGCCCCACTCCCGGGGGAGAAGGGACACAGGTTCCAGAACTCACCTCCTCCTCCGGCTTCTCGTTGCCCACCCGCGCCGACTCTCCCTTCTCCTGCTTGATGGCCACCAGGAAGTTGCCATGCTGAGCCTTGCCCGTGGCATGTCTGCAACCAGAGAGCACGGTCAGAGAGGGCTGGACACGGTGGGGATCAATGTGACACATACCCTGGCAGTGCAGCCCCGCACTCATGGGATTCCCCAAATCCCCCGACCCAAACAGCCTCAAACCTGGCACTGGCCATGGAGCCCCTGCTCCCATGAGGGGAGGCTACAGCAGAGCAATGGCACTGGAACAGAGCCCAGCACCAGGCGAGCTGCYCTGAGGTCTGGGGGCAGCCCTGGCACCTGTCAGGGACCTTTGGAGTGAGGCTGGCTTTTGGGGTCAGGTAACAGAGACAGTCACATCCCTGCCYGTCACCAGGGCTCGGTATACACCTTGGCAGGGAGTCCCAAGGGACTCTGAGAGGGAGGAGGAGCTGCAGGGGTTTGAATCCTGGCTCCAGGGGCACCACCTGGAAGCATCACYCACACCCAAGGAACCCTGGAGGCAGACAGTGAGGGCAGGGCACCGGCTCGACCCGCTCTGGCCACAACTGCCCCAGCAGGTTTGTGCTGCCTGTGACACCTCCCCAACACCATGAGCAGCATCGTGGGGCCCAGCCCCACTCCCCAGGTYGCTGCCACAGCTTTACAGATCAAGAACCACCTCAGACACAGCCTCCCTGCTCCACTGAGCACCCGTGAGTCCCACACTGGGTGGGCASAGCCTCCCTTTCCCACCACACCGTCATGCTGGGGCTCCCCAAGCCTCCTCCTCCAGTCGGCTCCATCCCACAGCCCCATCCCATTCACACCTCTGGGTCCTCAAGGCAGCTCCTTCTCTGCTGGAAACGTCCCCACCATGTCAGGGGAGCCACAAAGGGCTCCAGTGTCACCAAATGACACTCGGGTTCCAGCCAGGTCCCCAGACTTGGGAATCAGTCAGGGCCAAACACGAGCCYTGGCACAGACAGCATGTGCCAAAAGCCACAGCAATCCCAACCTGCTCAGGATGCACCTCACAACTTCCCTTGTGTTTGCCACAGCATGCACCTGGAGCAAACCCCAATTTCCCTGCAGAAACCCCAAGCTATGGCTTCCCAGTCAGCACCCAGACGAGCAATCCTTGCAGTTAATTTAGGGGACCCTTTCCATGAACCCCAGGCATGCAGTCTGCCACCACACTGGCCCCTGTGGACAAAGTGGGACGAGTCCCTCCATCAGGATTGGAACCCAACCATGGGCCCTGTCCTGCACCCTCAGGCTCACACAAAACCCTACAGCAAGGTGTGAGACCACCTCTTCTTCCAGCTTCTTGGGGATAAGAATCCTTGGAGGCTGTGCAGGGGCAAGGCCAGCCTTGGGCTTTATCAGCTCCAAGGGCAATGTTCCCAGTGATGTCCACAGCATCTCCATGTTCACCAGGAATACACGAACACCGTCCAGCACCAGACCCATCAACCTCCCCACTTGTGATCCGGATTCCTCACATGCTTAAGGATGCTTTAAGAAGTAAAGTTATCCCAGGCAAGATTCCTCCTGAGCCAGTTTGCTCTGGCATCCACCTCCCTCCACCGATGAGGCACTTCCCCATCCGTCTGCCCCTGCACCAGGAGAGCCAAGGCCAGCCCAGGACAGCACAAATCCCCCAGGAATTCAGCCCTTGCTGATCCTGATATGCTTAG